GGGGGGGGGGGGGACTGCCTGTCTATTATAGAAGCAAGAAATGACTTTCAATGGTTTAGGAGGAACAAATCACCCTCAGCCTTTTTCCATAATATCTCTATGTCCAATGTTCTCTGCTAGTAATATGTATTATATTAACAATAAGAATTACTACAAACTACCATTATGAATCGTTATACTGATAATACATATAAGCTGTAGAAAAAAATGGAAATAGATTTTTACCAAAGTCTTGGATGTGAATTTTCTTCAATGAACTGGGAAGATTCTGTAATCCCTGCTTCTTTAACAATTGCCTGAGCATCTCGTAATGATCTAATATCAAAATGAATTATGTAGTCCTTATTAGGGTGTTCAGGATTCTATTTAATGGAGAAAAAAAATCTCTTACTCATTTCCAATCACGCTATTATTTTGCACATGGCATTTTCTTTGATTAAAAGAATCTTTTACTTACCTTTAATATTTCATCCAATAAGACAGATTTAATTTCTAAATCTTCAAAGTTGCAAATGTATCCAGAAGTTTGAATGGGCTCCTTGGAATACATAAAGGCAATTAATGGTAAAAGAGGGATGGAAAAACTTAAATGCATTTTGGAAGTGCTACACAAAAAGTATCTTAGAATCCTGCTTAAAAGGCTTTTACCCATACTACTATACAGGTGAAACTCGAAAAATTAGAATATCATGCAAATGTTCATTTATGTCAGTATGGCAACTCAAAATGTGAAACCAATATATGTCAAGCCTTACTTTGGTATAATTGTGATGATTATGGCGTACAGCTTATGAAAACCCCAAATTCACAATCTCAGAAAATTAGAATAGTGTGAAAAGGTTCAATATTATGTCAAGCCTTACTTTGGTATAATTGTGATGATTATGGCGTACAGCTTATGAAAACCCCAAATTCACAATCTCAGAAAATTAGAATAGTGTGAAAAGGTTCAATATTATGTCAAGCCTTACTTTGGTATAATTGTGATGATTATGGCGTACAGCTTATGAAAACCCCAAATTCACAATCTCAGAAAATTAGAATAGTGTGAAAAGGTTCAATATTATGTCAAGCCTTACTTTGGTATAATTGTGATGATTATGGCGTACAGCTTATGAAAACCCCAAATTCACAATCTCAGAAAATTAGAATAGTGTGAAAAGGTTCAATATTATGTCAAGCCTTACTTTGGTATAATTGTGATGATTATGGCGTACAGCTTATGAAAACCCCAAATTCACAATCTCAGAAAATTAGAATAGTGTGAAAAGGTTCAATATTATGTCAAGCCTTACTTTGGTATAATTGTGATGATTATGGCGTACAGCTTATGAAAACCCCAAATTCACAATCTCAGAAAATTAGAATAGTGTGAAAAGGTTCAATATTATGTCAAGCCTTACTTTGGTATAATTGTGATGATTATGGCGTACAGCTTATGAAAACCCCAAATTCACAATCTCAGAAAATTAGAATAGTGTGAAAAGGTTCAATATTATGTCAAGCCTTACTTTGGTATAATTGTGATGATTATGGCGTACAGCTTATGAAAACCCCAAATTCACAATCTCAGAAAATTAGAATAGTGTGAAAAGGTTCAATATTCTAGGCTCAAAGTGTCCCACTCTAATCAGCTATATTGAACCTTTTCACACTATTCTAATTTTCTGAGATTGTGAATTTGGGGTTTTCATAAGCTGTACGCCATAATCATCACAATTATACCAAAGTAAGGCTTGACATATCTCGCTTTGCATGTAATGCGTCTATCTCATATATTGGTTTCACCTTTTGAGTTGCCTTACTGACATAAATGAACATTTGCACGATATTCTAATTTTTCGAGTTTCACCTGTAGTTTCTACATCTGCGATTAGAGCGCTCAAGGGGTTGAACGTTATCTGTATAAAGGAAGAAAAATAAATAATTTGAAGCTTTTTTAGTTTAAAAATTAGTGATTAAGGAAGACCTGTGTAATTAGAAAATACTAGTCAAAAAGATATGATAGTAATTGTTACGAATGGTTATCAAAGACTGCTTTAAGGACTGTTCAGACAAATGGAGGGTATTCAATCGGTGATAGACAAAAGCTGTGAAAACAAGTTAATTTTTTATTATCAGATGGTTAGGATAAAAAACAGAGATATCACCTTCATACCCTACTTGTGACCTTCTGAAATAATAGGCCTATCTTTTTTAGTGACACAATGCTGAACCAAATGTTACTATTATCCAGTATTTTTATGTTCTTTCCACTCCAAAATTCAATTCATTTATTTTATAAATGGTCAGATGGAAGGCAAGGGAGGGGTAGTGCTGGCAAAAATCAAAAGAAAGTACAACTCTTTGAAGCTCCTTAAACTTAAAATGATTATTAATGGAACTTTTAGTCCATTTGTATGAACTTCACTTATTTTCTTTCCAAAATCCAAAGAGAGCCATGATAGTGGTGATAATAATTAAATTATTGCTTTTTCATTATTGTTAATTGCTCTACCTCAGGATCCAGGTTTCTGAACACATACATTCTTGTTTTCTCCATCATGGCAAACAAGTCTGGATTATCTTTGGCCCATTTCATATCCCAAACATCTCTGCGTTCCAATTTGAGTTGTTCACCAATTCCTTGGCATCCTGAACCATCTGTTACTCGTGTATCCAAGTCAAAGAAAATCAGCATTCCTAACATGTCTATGATAGCAAGACGACTAAAAATATAATAAAGACAGAAGGAGAAAAAAACACTTTTTATTAACATTTCAGCATTAAATTAAAAACAATTTTTTCCCAGGATACATCTTCAGCAAAAGAATGGGTGGAAAAACAAAAAGGATTCTAAACTGAAATTTACTTGGTAATACAAATACAGAGAACAGGAATATTTGTTTAAAGAAAAGGTGATATTCCCACCATACTTGTTTTTTAGCTTAGCTTTTAAAATCTTGTTTTCAGTATAGTACATTGTCTGCAAGCCTTCAAGAACTTTTAACCAATTTCTAAGAATTGAAAATAAAAAAATTGAGAAGCAATTTAATAACAAACTTTTCTTTTCTTACCTTGACTTGCAATTCAAAGACATTTGATACGGCCGACAGTTTAGGAGATATTTTCGAATTAAACCAACATTGGGCAGCCTGTAACTCTGAATGGTGCCAGATTCTCTTCCCTAGACAAAAATAAACTCTAAATAGTGAGCTAGTATGAAGCAAAAATGTTCCTCGCTAGAGGCATTTAGTAAGGCATTTAGTGTATCATGTAATTTAATAAACCTTTGATGCAATTCAGAAAGGTTTTTGTATTAATATTCTGATTAAATTAGTAACTGGCTAAACGAATAACTGGTGCATTCTGGCATGCATATGTCAGGCTAATAAACTGACATGGGAGATCTTTTGCCTGCACATCTATCATTCCTCTCTTCAAAATGCATAACAATTATAGAGGTTTTTTTAGTCCTAATTAAGAAAATACTCCTATCATGTTTGGTATAAGCCAGTTACAAAAGGCAAAATGCTTATGCATATTTTCTCTTATAAAACTTAAGTAGTTCCCAGAACTGGGTCATTGTGTTTCTCTCCTAAGTTTCCTCTATCACTTTTATCTGTGTACAAATAATTCATAGCTTTAGTTTTGCATTTCTGAACTTTTCTTTTTAATCCAGAAAAACATTTAATGTGTAAAATTGTTGATATGTGTGGTTGGATCGCTCTTTTTAACAGCATGTGACTGAATAACATGCTTCTATGTATGATCTTGTAATCTCTGCTAGAGTTGGGCTGAAACACTTGCCCTCCAATTTTCAATTCAATTCAATATTCAATTTTCAAATAAATTGATTCGAATGTTGTTAAAGTACCATGTGTCTGTGTGTATGTTGCTGCAGATTATCATTTCATTATAATTTTTCTCTATTCCTATTACAATTCTCTTTGCTTATGTACAATACATAATGTAAGAGGACTATTCTCTTTCTGCTTTCTTACTGGATCATAATTTGTAACATTGGGGTTCTGTTACTTTCTGGGCTCTCGCACATCTTCAAGATCCATATTGCTTTCAGGACACCTCTCCCCAAAGTTCAACCTAAACTGTTTACATTACAGAACAATAATTCATCACTATATTTCTGGGAAGGACATGCCATGGCGTGTCCTCAGAAATTTCTGTTTTTTATTAGGCAATTACTTAGACAGTGGGGAACTATAATTTCTCAGTATTTGCATTTGTGCACAAACCTTACACTCTCATACCTCTGCCCTTCTCTATCTCACATGGCCATGAGGACAGCCAAGTTTTCATTATGCTTTTAAACAAAGGAGAATTTACTGCTACATCGTTAAAATGGTCTTAGAATAGTTAAACCTCATAGATTAAGAGTAGAGGGAGGTAATCTTTTTAAGTTGGGAGGTTGCAGCTTTAATTTCTACATGTCTTTTGGCTCCTGAGGAGTCACTTCAAAAAGTTCAACTATGTTGATTTGGGGAGGGGTTGAGGGGCTTAAAAGGCAAAATACCTTGGAAAAAAGGGAAATGTATGCCTTAGAAAATTAGTGGTTTTCTCACTAAAATTTCAGTGGCTTATCTGGAGTTGGTCTGGTGGCTGTAATAAGACTGACATTGCTATATGGGGCTCACAGGAAATGGGCTGCCCATCACAGAGTCTGGCTTATTGTGACTAAACACAAAAATGCTGCAAGTTTGATGAAGCAGTAAAACCTGCAGATTCTCTATATATCGTTTTCTCCAATGCTTCCAGCAGCCATCATCTGGAGCCAGTCAATGTCATGTTCACTGAAGTGAACAATGAAAATAGGAGCACATCTAGGCAGAGTAAGTGCTGTGCAAACCTGAGTACAGTCAGACCAGGACATGCACCTATTTCCCACCTGAGCATCTGAATTAACAACCATCATCATCACTTTTTGTCTCTTTCTGCCCCAATCTCTCTTCTGTCTTTCAGTTTATTAACCTAAGGACAAGGATAGTCCAGTTACTGATTTTTCCCCCCTAGATCTTTGTAGAAGCATTCTTGTTTAAAGAATTGTACACAAATATCTTAAACGTATAGATTCTATTGAAAGCATTCAAATCCATCATGGCTAGATAATACTATTTACCTTTAAACTAATTTTACTCTTATCAATCACTTTAAGAACCATTATATTTGAAAAGCAAAGAACTAATATTGTAAAATAAAACAAAATTACACTGTTACTACTTACAATAATCAGTGTCTTATCAGATGCAGTTATTGCACAAATTGGATCCCTTGTTCCCTGAAACCACATAAATGATACTAATGTAATGGCCAAAATATAATTTATTTCTCCAGAACAAGGTGTATAGCAAAATCACTAGGATAAATGAAATAACATTAAGAAAAAAAAATGTTGCTAAGCTATAAAACAAAATATTTATTTTTAAATAAAGAAAAAAATGACTTCATCCATCTTTAAGATGGAAATAGTAACCGTAACAAGCTTGGCACCTGTAATTCAGCTACTGTTTAAAAGGGAACTCACTTGCAGGACCTTAGCATAGTCAAGAACTCCATCACCTGCTCCAGAAGGACTATCATCCACATGGTAAATCCTGAAAGAAACCAATCAAATATTACATTGAAGCTATACTGGAAAAAATGTACAACAATTTGGGAGAACTTAGTCAAATAAAGTAGTTTTAAATTCCAATTATTACTCCTGGGATCAGTGTACTTTCATGTATTACAAAAGAGATCTGCTTACAAATAACAAATTAGTTCAGCTGTATTATCAATTATTCATAAAACAGCAATTTTAATTCTTTTTAGAAAAAGATAAAAAAATCCTTTAAGTTGCTCTTGCTTTTTTAGTGACTACATGGATACAATCATATATGTTCTTGGCAACAAGGTCGATGTGGTTTGCTACAGCCTTCTCCTGGAAAGTTTTTTTTTTCTTCTGCCAAGATTATTAATCAAATGTCATAAAGCCACCCATAAGAGGCAAGATATACAGTATAGGAAAAAGAGCTAAAAAAACAATGGACAAACCTCTCCTTGCCTTCTTTTCTGGTCCGTGCTACCTGATTAATTTCCATTGCTGTAAGCTTCTTGTCTACACGGTATTGCCAGATATAAAATGCTTCTTTTGAAGCGGCTATGACCTGGGTTTTGGTCATTGTAACAAACAGTGGAGCTATTATAAAATTCAGACAAAAAACATAATGAGAACAGGCCCATCAATACTTTGACACAAACTCATTTAGTATCAGATGTAAATAATGAACAATAACACTGAATAGTGTTATGCAAAATTGATGTTCTTAATTAAACATATGCAACTTAAGTTCTTTTAAGAAGCATAAATATGTTTGTAATCTAAGGACTGAGTTGCAGTTTAGAAGAATGACATGTCATTTCATCTTATCCACTAATTCACAAGTTCAGTGATGTAAGTCACATTAGCTATATAAGAGCCTGTCTCTCAGCCTCAGTACTACATTGATAGTTAGGATGTGACGTTATTGTCCATCATTATTACTACCTCATCTAGCTTATTCTACACTGAGTATCGTATGCTGTGTCAATTTTGGAACTGGTTCTAGAGAAATATAATTTATAGACAATTCAGAAATCAGCAAAAGCTAAGTAAAGCAATTTGTAACTTGCAACAAAAAGTTTGCCAAACAACCAGTGTTAATAAGGACAACAGGCTGATAATAATGATTATACAAACACAGATAACTTTAAATATCTGCTTACCAATATCTATATATTTTGGATCCAAGGGTGTGCCAATGGAATTGCAAAGCACAAGTACATACTAGAGAAAAATAAAAACACATGCAATTGTCACAAGGGACCACTCTCCAATGTAGGCCAAGATTCTGCATGGATTACATAAAGAAGCATGTGGACAATTTATTATTTGAAAATGTAATCCTATTTTTAATCAGTTGAGGAAAAACAAAGGAGCAATTCCTATGTTTCATTATATCAAGTTAGACGCTTTTCAATTTAAAAAATAACCATAGACTCCTTTTCATAAATAAAAGCATCCAATAGTATGTAAGGAGAGCTATCAGCCTCTTCCTTTGTACTACTATACACATATAATCCTGCGCAATGCAAAGCCCCCCCCCCCAAATTTTATCACTTTGATAATCAAAAGTATCACAAGATCTCAAGTGAGAAAAATGAAATCTCATAAAATGTGACAATCTTGCAAGGAAATACTGGGATTCTCTGAGCACCATGTAGCAATGCTACAGGACCCACAGGCTCCTGAGTGCCACACCACACAACAACAAAAGGGTTGGGCAACTTCTCTAACTCCACTAACTGCACAAAAGATTTTGCAATAATGTGAGTGGGTTGTTCAGGCTATGATTAGAGACATACTAAGTGAAGGCTTTTCCAATATTGTATTAATTTCAAGATTTCCCCACTAGAGGCCTCTAGCCTCTTCTCCCACTCCCCACCCCCAACTGTCCCTCATGGTGCAGTTTAGTCTGGACAGGGTTAACATCAGCTTCCCGTCACAGTTGTCCAGCTTGGCCAGGTCACCAGCTCCTTGCCCTTTAGCTTATTTAGGCCTTTTTGGCCCTTTTAAGTTTCCTGATACTTACATGGAACCCAATTCTTGACTCCTACTAGGGTTATTTGCCCACTTTTGGAGTTAGAGCAGGCTTGGCTTGGCCATCACAGGGTCTGTTGTTTCACTGTGGCTGCTTTCAAGCTGCAAGGCAGTATTACTGCCAGGCTCCAAGCTGAGCTCTAATAGGCAAGGCGGCTGCTGAGCATCAGCATGAACTCCCAAGCTGAGCTTCAAGCACTGCTACTGCTTAGTGTGGCTCTTGTCCAAGCAGCTTCCTGTTTAGGTCCCAATAAGTCTTGCAGCAGTGATAGCTATTGTTACTCAAGTCACCCCAATGTAATCTCTGCTTCCTTTATCTTTTCTCATTCTCCTCTTCACCTACACCCCCCCTCAGTTATCTCTCCCTTTTTATCTTAAGAGTGGCGTGAGATGGCTGTGAACACATTCAGCTGAGGTCCTTCAACATTTATCATCTTTACCAGAAATAAGGAGGGTAATAAACCAATTAAGCACATCTGATTTCTACTCTGTATCTTTTTGCCACTAGGCAAAACGATTCTATTCTTCCTAATTTTTATATTACTTTGTACTTTGTTTATTTTATTTTATTTTATTTTATTGTTATTTATTTTATTTTATTGTTTAGAATTTCTATCATGAACCAGTCTAGAATACCCATTCTGAAGACTTAAAATAAAAGAAACATAAAATAAACATCTCTTTTTCCAGAGGACTACAGACAGTTTGCGTGGATATATACCTAGGGAGGACTTGGCATCATTTCCCACCATTTCCACCCATTTCACCCTACAAAAGTAGATACTTATTTTTCTCATCTGGCAAGATCTGTGAATCCAAAAAAGGCAATTCCAGATATTATAATAAAATGAGATATGATTTGTACTAAACCCATACTAAGAAAAGTTCATTTGATGGATATATTATCCTATAATAACCATACCATCAGTTAAGGCAACATTTAAAAGAATTGCTTTACCATTGCACCAGTGGATTCTGTTTCATCCTCCTCCTTTGCAAGCATTGTACAAGAGATATGAGAAATACAATAATGATTTTTTTTTCCAGACGGTAAAGCAGTAGCAGTTCTAGCTAAGTACACAATAGCAGAAGAACAAACCCCATTCCATTCTAGCACTGAAGATGTTACCTAGCTGGGTAATGAAACGTTTGTAAGAAAACAACCAAGCTCAGAGAACCCCAGGGACTCCACGAAGAACATTCTTGTCTGAATCACTTGGATTTCTGAAGTAACTTGTATTTCCATATAGAAGACTTCACAAGAAACTAAGGGAGTTATAGAAAATGCTTCCTTCGCTAGGAACTATTTTGCCTTCTCCTGCCCAGTCAGATTATATCAACCAAAGTACAGTGGAACCTTGGGTTACGAACTTAATTCGTTCTGTGACTCTGGTCACACCCTGAATTGGTCGCAACCCGAAACAAATTTCCCCATAAGGTTCAATGTAATTACTGTTAATCTGTTCTGGCGTGGCGGCTATTGCTTGGAGGGAGAGTCCCCCTCCCTACAACCACGTGTCAGGGGCGGAAAAATGGCCGCGGACCACATGTCAGGGGCGGAAAAATGGCC